TATGTCAGAAAGCTACCTGGGCTTGCTGACAGCCTCCCTCCAGTGCTAGCTGCACTGCACCAAGGAGACAGCCAGCAGATCCAGCATTAACTACCAGTATCTGAAGAAAACAGAAGTTAAAAGTTAAGACAACACAGAAGAGTAACAATGAAACAAGATCCAGAATGGTGAGCACTTCTCCTGACTGCTAGGTCCAAGAGCCAAACACCTTTATACAGCTGTGTTTTTCATGCTTCATCCTCCCACTACAAAAAAAAAAAAAGCTACTACCCTACTACTCCAGATTCAAGTCCTCATTTTTAAGTACAGTTATGTAGGGGGTAAATTGCCCTTGTTGTTTAAAAAAAAACAACAACAAACTAAACAGAACAAACATAACTATTGTTATCAATTAAGTAATGTTTATGGAGACACAAATATTTTAAGTATCTTGTGGTTTTCATTCTTTTCCAGATTGTTGTACTTCAGAGGGGTTATTCTTTTACTTACAGAATATTTTAACCTTATCCCAAGTCTTCACACTAAACTTTTTTTAATCTGCATCAAGTCTCTATCACTTACGTAATACAATTCTTTTATCATTCAGATTTTCAGTTTTCAATAGAGAATTACTATTTCAATTTTCAGCAAAGGTGGCCTAGGATACAACAGCTTCTTTATTTCTCGAGTCATAGTGTTTCTAAAGATTAGAAGATAATTGTGCTGTGAAATCAGAAGAGCAATTGTTAAAGAAAGCACTTCACATAATAAATCTCCAAGCTTGTATTTTATTACTGGGTTTTCAGGTTCACGGTTCAAAAATAAAACAAAAACTTAGCATGTAACATAATAAACAAACATCTTTTAGCTATTCACTATTATACTTCATTATAACGGTATTTTAGCTTACTTCTAAGCTCTCCTTCCCCAGCATGCAGTTTTACTTAAGAATCAGAACTTGGGTCTTTCTCCTTTCTTTGAATTGCAGCTGTTGACTACAAAGCCTCTTAAACTACATCAATCAGCTTTATAATTATTTGCAACACTTCAACTCAAACACACACTGCCACCTTACACTCTGTGTAAACCACTAAAAAACCTGCCCATTTTCCAGCATTTGATTTATGGACAGCTTGACTTGGTCCTCAGTTCACCACAAATTCCTTCTGGCATACTAGGCAAAGACTAAAGGAGAGGGAAGAAAATTGATCCAGCCTTAACCAAACAGAATTTTCTTTAGCCTAGGAAGCTTTGTAAGAGTCCAGAACACACTTCCCCTGGTTGCAAGTGTAGTAATAACAATACATACTTGTTAAAGCATTAGATCTTTATCTATTAAGACTGATCTTAACACTTGTTTCAATTCCCATTATTATTGCTCCAACAGCCAAACCTATTTCTTTACACACACTACAAGAATTCAAAAGGAAAAGAAATTTTCTTTCATTTTTTTAGAAATGACAAAACCCTAAGGTTCTTCTCTGAACACAAACTAGAAAGCCAGCTGTAATGAGAGGTTAAGATGAATAACCAATCATCAAACACAAGCAGCCTTTAATCACACCATTGTGGTCTTGATTTGAACTGGTGAAGCACAAAGTTTCCCACCTCATTACCAGGCCACACTGACCATTTTCAAAATATAAGATCGCATTCCATAGAATCTGTCCAGACACACAGAAAGCACTGCTAACCTCAGACAATCATGAAAAAAAACCCTAGAGATTATACTGAAGCATGAAGAATAGCAGGTTAACTTCCCAACTGCATGCAGTGTTAAGTTCTTAGGAAAAAAAATTAAAAGCAGAAAGACAAAGCCAGGAAAGGATTATTCTGTGCAAGTTACAATGACAGCAGAAAAAAATTTACAAGTTGGCACTGCATCCTATATATTTAGGGGGGGGAAATGAAGATGTCAGCAGCTTGCTGCAACAGTGTGTACTAACATTTAGTTTAATTGTTTGCAAACTGAGTTCATTGCAGCAGCTCAAGTAAGTTCACTGCATTGCCCTTTCTTCAAAGGAGAAGGCACAGGAAAACTCCCAAACATAAAAACTACAGTTAATAATCTGAGGAATTTATCATGACACTCTGGCAACTAAATGTCAACAGCTGGAGAAAACAGAAAATGAAATCAATTCTTTCTGTGATTCTAGGTACGTTACATACAGCCAGGATTTCCCTGACAAGTTACCATTAATACAAAAATAAATAAAAATCAATCTAACTTGGCTACACTGTATAGTCTTACCCACCCCTTAAACATATGATACCTCTGTCTTATGGGGCACAGAATCATGGAATCACAGGACGGTAGGGGTTGGAAGGGACCTCTGGAGATCATCAAGTCCAACCCCCTGCCAGAGCAATGTTAAAGTATAATTTTAAATACAGATTTGTCTTATCCTTATTTATGAAAACAGACATACCTTTATAAAGGTGTTCTACAGAAATGAAAGCCTTAATAGAGAGTGCTCAGTTTTAACATCTTTCAAATACTCTGCATTCCACAACAACTAAAACCAACTACTATGAATGGCAGACTGCAATTCTGTCAATACTCTTCTCCAATATCAGAGAAGATCCAATAAAAAGGATGAGAAGCACTTACCTACACACCTGGTAACTGTTAAGTTATACAACAGCAGTAGCTCCCCTGTTCACTTTGCAAAAAATTTTAACTGATCACTTGCTTAAAAATAAGTTTGTGTGTGCTCTTCTTAAATGCCAAGATATTACAATTTACTTCTACAAGCTGCTTCGATAAAATAATATGCTCTATATAACAAACTCCTAGGACAACAAATATGATGTAAGGTAAAAATAGTTTTTAAGGTAATGGATAAGGTTGGCAGAAAACCAGATACAAACTGCCTGTGAATAAGTTTAGAACAGACATTAGAAAAGGGATTCAATCTTTTTAGAACGGAGATGCTAGAACAGTCAACAGTCACAAACAGAGTAAGATACCTTACGAGTATCACAAGAAAAATAACAATTAGGATTCCGTAACTTCGCCTGCACATAACAGCACTAGTTTTTCAACCATTAAGTTATTTGCTTTCATAAATCAAACATTCTCAGATTTTAGATCATAATTTTAGATACATTTTCTATTTGAATCACAGTAGGAGATGGACAAGTTCATAATACTACAGACTGCCATCACTTCTGACACATCTAGCTAGTCTAGGTGCCCACAGATTTTGTGAGTAAGCTTCTGTGTAGATGTATGCAAGTAAATGCACCATCGTAAGATGACAAATACCTTACAGACTGAGGTACCTAGTAGAGAAGAGCCTAAAACTATGTAGACCATGCTTATAGTTCAAGTTTCTCTTAAGTAAACCATAAAATAAGAAAACCAACACCAGCTGAACATAAAAATTTTATCTTCACTCAACCATATTTTCAAAAAAAGCATTTTCTTTTGAGCCCTTGAAGCCCATCACTTAGCATGGACTTAAGCATCTTATCTACCACAGAAATGTGGTGTCCTGCAGAAACTGTATTTTGAATAACATTATTATTAGGCACACAAAAAAAGTACTCCCATTTGAATACAGGTCTTCATTCTAGCTAATATAAAGCTAAAATCTGCAGTCTAGAATCACATTAAAAATCTCACCAAAATGAAGGGTGTTTTACCCAAGTCACAACAGTATTTGTTGTACAGCACCTTGGTGAGTCAAACTTCACACAGCAACTCTGATACAAAAAGTAGAAAGATTTACAGATATTTGTTATTTTTAAGGCCACACACTAGGCAGTAAGACACCACATGAGAATAAAAGAAACAGATTCATATAGTGGCATTTGACAAATCAGGATATTCAGGTACTTGAACAGCTGCCTGTAAAGTGGCCATTTATGCAGCACAGTAAATACTTTTAAGTGTCAGAATATAAACAAGTGTGAACATCAGTACAAGAGAAAACATATAATTCTATATAAATACTAAAACAGCTCAATCTATGCTAAACATAAACCCTAGAGTTCAACAATTCTTTCCGTCCTTTTTTTCAGGGTAGTTTTTCCTGTACTGCATTTAGCAACCATTTCCTCCATCATTCTTTTTTCTTCTTCCAAATGTCAAAAACTATCATTTTTCATTGAATTTGACAAGAAATTTAACCAACAATTTTCTTTACTCACTTCCTCCCAGAAAATCAAATGGTCTTATTTTACTAACATAGGATATAATTATCCTATGAACTAGATGCACTTTCTTCAACAGATTCAGTACAGCTGTGTTGAAACTAAGCTACATTGTAACTGCAGTCCTGTGTATATGAAGTTATAACCTTATTACTACATGATGTAAAGCTAGGTAATGTTGCTGCCAAGAATTATATTAAGAAGTCTCACATCAGCAAAAGTTATAAAAGACCTTTAAATACCCAAAACAGTTCACTAAAAAGATATTATCTTACACATCAGATATGGCCTAAAACAAAACTTCAGGTGTCTTTCATCGTGTTTTATCACCAAAACAGATCTTAAGTCACACTTTTCTATGGCTCAGGACTTCTCAGTGCATGCCAAAATTCCTTTGGGATCAGACTTCTATACTGGAATTTGAGTAATATATTTATTTTTTCCAGTAAAATGAGGCCCATTCATTTTATGTTGGATTTTTACCAGCTATTTTAATTTGCTGGACAGTCACATATTTTGGAGTTCTTTGCAAACCCAAGGCATTTCCCCCTTAGTTCCATGTTTTATTTATGGTGTAAAAACCAACACATCAGCTTGTTACAGAACTCACCTTCCTGAAAATGATACCACAATACCAACATAGAAGCCTTACACAGCACATATTGATCAAATATTTTCAGATTAACAACAGCACCTGCCAAACCTCAGCTTTATTTTATTATTTTTAAAGGGCTGAAGAAACAAAACTCAGGATGAACATTTTTAAGGAAGAACCTCCTTCCAAAACCCACTACAGAAGTACATTTATTCTGAACTGCAAACCAAGGGTTTTTTTTTATTCTGAAATAAAGTAATCTACTCACTCATGACTGGAAACTTCTTTGCATATAATCCAAGACAGATCTTGAAGCAAGGTATCCTGTTGGAGAAGGTTTCTCAGAGGTATACATGTCCTGATGATGGTAGGAAAATAAAGAGAAAGAATTTTTTCAACTTCAAATAGCTAAAATAAATGTTTATATATAAATTGCCTTTCCTACTATCTTTTCATTCTTCCTGTTAAAAAACAGAACACAAAAATGTATTTGTTATGACTGACAAACTTTACTGTTTATGGATATATTTTTGAAGTTTATCAACTCAAAACCTGTACTTTGTTCTGACGTTCATATAAATTTGAATTACAAAGAAGTTTACTACATAAGCACGGATCAGTATTAGCATCCAACACTTTCTCCTCAGAAACAAATCCTGAAAATGGTACCATTTCTAGCAACTGTAACTGTAAATCAAATCAGTCAATTCATAATTGACATGAAAAAAATACATATATCCAAGTAGGGCCGATATAGATTCTCTAACTTGGCTCTCCCCAAAGCAAAATACAGAGGAGTTAACTCCCAACAATGACAGCCCAGCAAGCACATTATGGAAAATTTATTATATAATCTCCATACTGCTGCTAAAAGCAAGTTTATACAAATGTGATAGAACCATTAAATAAAAGTAACTTCACCTCACAGCCAAGATTAAAAGAAAAAACCCAAACTTATCTATTGAGCTAAGGGTCTTCCTCTAACATCTGTACAAAAAGTTTCTGCAAATGAAGAATATTATGCAATTTATTTCCTCTTTTCAGAACCAATTAAAAGGCACTGAACTTGATGATCTGTGCTAATCCAGCCAGATAATATCTTGTGCTGACACAGATTTCAAGTCTCAACTGTCCCAGTCTCTGAATGTCTAAAAAAATTAAAATACAAAAAGACAAAAGAAGAGATCTAACTTTTTCTGAAGTATGACTTTGCATAACATTTACGGATTTACAGCACATGCAAAGGTAGAGGAACTATCACAGGACTGGGATTCACATCACAAGAAGGCTCCTTTATCAATTGCTAAAACCATTTTTGTAAAAACATTTTAAAAAAAACAAGACACCAAAACCACCTTCACACCACAAAAAAAAAAATAAAAAAAAAAAATCCAGCTGTCAAAAGGAAGCCTTCAATAATGCTGCAGACTGAAAATTACAACCAGCTTCTTTTGTACCAAAAAAGTAACACACAAAAGAGGCTTAACAGGGGAAGAAAATGGTATCAATGGTGAGTAAGTAAGTATGCAAACACTATTAAAAAAAACCCCATAAGCAAACACAAAGCCATTAGTTGGTGCAGTCATTAAGAACAGTTTGAATTGCAGCTTCTGTCAATTTTCTGTGAATGGCTGCAACGTTAAACATTTAAGACAGCCTAATCAAAAATAAAGCATCTGGTTAAAAACTACTGTTAGAACCACAGTTTTGTGAGATGCCCTTTGATTACTGATGTCAAAATGAGCAAATATAGCTTTCATGATATTTATTAATGTACTGAACTAATTACACTTATAACTTTAAGAACATCCAATGAGTCACACAGATAGCCCTCAACCCAGGCCCAAAGCCCTTTTCACCAGAGCTCCATACTACACTTGAGCCCAAACTGCTCTTCATTTTCACTGAGTCAGCTGGAGGACCAGAGTCTCCCATTCAACTTGATTTTCTAAAGGTATAGTCTCACCTTAGTCTTGTAAATATGAACTAACAATACTTTGCCTCAGAGACATTGAATTACATGACATTTTATTGTGTGTATGTACGGGAAAAGGCTGTTCATTAGGAAAAAACAAATTATCAGTTTTGAAAATCACTTAAAGCTAACAATAGCATCATTATTGTATCATTTATAATAATCCGGTCAAGTAACACTAAGGAAACAAGCAGGGGGAAATACAGCAGCTATATACTACCTAGGAACATGTCAGAACCATGAAGAAGTGAATGTTCTGGTACACCACAGCATCTTGAACTCCAACTTCCAGCTATAAAGTGTTACCCTGTCTTGCCTTCTGTGTATAAATATTTTGCTGAGCTATTGCTAACCGCTCT